GTGGGTGCCCCCGTGCGCTGCCCTGGGCACGGCCTGGCCCTCAGCTTCAGCCCTTTGCGGCACCGGAGCCCTCACGTGCTCTTGTGAAACGGGGTGTTTCGTTCAGAACACGCACACAAGGAGTGTAGCTTCCCGCCGTGCACCAGCTCTGGCCTCGTTAGCCGGATCACTTCCATGAGCCAGGGCTGAGCTGAGCAAACACGGACAAGCCAAGCACTTCCAGAACACTTTTGCTACTCCAGTGACATCTTCAGTGTCTAAAGCTCAAATGGTATTTCTTCTTATTTCTTTTTATTTCCACTCCTATGAGGGGCAGGCTGGGTTATCTCCAGTCCACCGGGTAGAGCTAAGGGAAATCATCAGCCACCTGTGGGTGACCTAGGCATTTAGAAAGGCAGTCCCCCCGCAAAGGTAATTTTTAGTGATTTGGGTTTTTTTTCCCTACCAGTCTAGGAGCACAGGGGCAAGGCAGCTATATGGGGTTGGATGGACTCCAGCTTCATCCCAGGAGTCCCCGACTCGTTGCCTCATTTGAATTTCAAGGCTGCAGTCTCTCTTACCCACCTCTGCGGTGAGGGCTTGCTTTCCAGGTCCCAGGCCTGGGCTGCCACGTACATGTGTGTTCTCACATATTAATCCTCTTGTTTTGTTTCTGGTTTTGTTTATCTTTTTGCAGGGAACGGATGCGCCAGTCTGCTATGTTTGAACTGTGCCAGGGAATGCACCAGATCAGTCTGCAGTTCGTTCGCTTGCAGCTTAGCTTTGAGGAATACACTATAATGAAGGTCTTGCTGCTGTTAAGCACAGGTAAGTTCGATTCATAGTTACATGAGAAAACTTGAAATTAATTCTGCTCGTGAAGAAGTGCAGTGATTGTAACTAGTATAGCAGAAGAGCCAGGCTGTCTCCAGCAGGGTCCCAGAAAAAAAAGCCTGTTTTTATGTTTTAGGATTTATCTGCAGGTTTCTCTCCGTGAGTGCAGGAGTGCTCTTTGCAGTTTGAATGTGTCATGTGTGTCGGGAGGACAGGAGGGGCCGGCAAGGGGCTTTTGCCCTGCTCTCTGTATGGGAACTGCTGAATCAGCTGCACACACCGAGCAAACGCATCCGTGGAGCGGGCTGGTAACAGCTGTGTTGTCCTGCACTGTGGGGATTTGGGAAAAGTCCTGACTCAACACTCAGCCACCAGTTTGGGTGACTTAATGGCACCTTCAAGATCAAAAGATGTACGTTCCCCATACTGCAAGATGTGTACTTTTCCAGTTGCCAAGTAAAATGAGACTGCTCAGCCCTTTTACAGTGCTCTGGTTGTATAATAAATGATAGGGCACGCTCTGTTTTTCTCTTGAGCGTCATGCTTTGAAAGTTTTTAGGATCCTAAACTGCATCATGGTGTTCATTGCAACAATGTGGAGTTGTTACTAGCAGATGTCTTAATCTGCTCCTACAAAAGAGCAAAAACTCCTGCTCCATATAACTGTATAAATACACAGACATTTTGTATGTGGTTTTTCCACTTGTCTTAATGAAAAAGCCAGTTACCCGTAAGCAAACTTTCTCCTGTGTCATCGTTCTCTTTTCTGTGAGATTCACTCAGTGGCGTTCTCACAAGATAATGCATCAGCTGGGAGTTTCTGGTGTCACTTCAAGGAGTTCATCAGGCAGGAATCCTCCCGGCAGCATTAGGCCCTATGTGCTGCTGAGAGGTGCAGGGAGAGGAGGAGCAGGAGACCAGAGGGGCCCAGTTGTTCTTGCCTTCAGCTGCAAGCTCTCGGCAGCTGGAAGCAGACCTGCGGCTCCCGCCAAACGCAGCATCTCCCGGTTCGGGAGGCCCTCGAGGTCTCGCTGTCTTCCCCGGCAGGGTTATTGCCCCACGCTCTGCCCCAGCGGCACCGCGCGGGACCCCGGAGCTGGCGCACGCGGAAGCTGGCGCGGTGCCGGGCTGGGTGGGCCACCCTGCTCCCTCCTGCTCTCGAGGCCCTTCCAGTTCGCCTGGAGCGAAGGCACGACGGCCGGAGAGAGCCGGCGTGGGCCGAGCACTGTCCTCGTGTCCCAGGGCAGGGAGGTTTGGCCACGGAGCCAGCGCGCGCGGAGGTGCCGCCTGCCCTGCTGCTCCGGGCTGCTCCCGAGGGCGAAGGTGGCCGCTCTGGTATTCCCAGGATCAGCTGGCGCTTCCTAACGCCCACGCGCTCCGCGGGAGTTAGCCCTCCCAGCGATCCTGAGAGCGTGCATGGGTTGGAGCTGCAGCTCTGCTGCTTGTTAATCACCCCAGTATGGGAAGGATCTCCTGAAGAGCCTAATGGCATTCTAAGATTGTGGCATTATCTCTTAAAGAGCGGTATTATTCTGCCCTCTTGAGACTATTACCTAATGGCTTTAGTCATTATATGAATCTCGGAGGTGAGAGCAGCCTAGCCAGTTAACTTAGCAGGCTGGTTCCCTCTGGAATGCACACCTTGATCATTAGAAAACCTACCAAAAATAGTTGTTTTGCAAGATCCGGGATATCTACCGAAAAGAGAGAAGGAAAGGAGAACAAAAAGGAAACTAAGACAATGATAATACCCAGAAAAATGCCACATGAACAGCAGTAAACCTAATTTCTAATTATTGCACCTTGATACTATATTATGATAGAAAACATCAGGTTCATTTTCATTTAATTTTTTTATTGAATCCTGTAATGAGCAGAGTACAAGTTATTTTGAAACTTTCATGATGACCACATCAAGGAAGTTTCACTGCATTTACATGTGGAAGAAACCACATATTACAACTCAATTGTTTTCTTGCTTTCTACAGACCATAGATTTTGGGAGCTTGCCAAAAGCGTTGCTGCGTTTAATAAGTAAAATCAGAAACACTGGGCAAACCTCCAGAATTTCATGTTTTGCTTGAGTTCTCTTTATTTGTGGTCTTTCTTTCTTTCTTTCTGTCTTAATAATCTGGCTGGGGTGATGGTATAATAATTTTCAGGCAGAGCAGTAAAATACATAGTAGTACATAATGAAAAAGTGGCTATAACAGTTTTAAGCAGCATTTAGGAATACAGACCTGTAAATACTAAAGAACCCATCAAGCCCTTGCATTTTGTATGTATGTTCCAGTGGTCTCACTCATCTTGATTGGTGTGTCTCCATTCATGCGGCCTGGGCTGTATTTGCAAATCTATTTCAAAACATTTCTTCTTTCTGTCAGCTGACAGATTTGGAATTCAGAATTTCAAATTTGAGTAGCAAAGAGCAATGGCAATATTTACCAAGGGGTGGAGGGATTGGCACTGTTACCCCTTTAGACTTTTTCTAAAGATTCTTCTTTGTGCCTCCCTGTAGCCCTGGATGCTGGCAAGTCCTTGTTGACCATGTCATGGTAGAGCTGCTCCTTGCTCTGCATTGTTAAATTGCTATAGTGGTCACCTGGAAGATGTTCCTGCTCCTTCCTAATGTTCCCCCCCCTAAGCAATTTAGGTGGTTATTAAATGTTTTACATCTTTACATGAGGTAGAAGGCAGTTTTTAGGATTTCAAAGAGAACGGATCCACAAGACAGTTTAAGATGTTAAGATGTCAAGATGTTAAGTCAGAGAGAGTTAAGTTGGAAGGTCTATTTTTTTTAAGTGACCTTCTATCTAGCTTAATTTGACTTTGCTTTCCAGACTTCTTAGGAAGTAAACTCACTACCATATAGTGTAGAATTTTATTTTTCTTCTATCAGCTAGCATTAAGTGGTTAGAGTTTATTTGATGGTTAAGCAGTATTTGACCAATACTAAAACATGAGAATATTTTGCATAATAAACTCTTCAGGGGTCCCTGTTTGGCGCAGAACCTATTGGAGTGAAAAGCTTTTGCAGTCTAAAGCAGCAGTGGTATTTGCTTGCAGAGTTACCCTTGCTGTATCAGCTACCCCAGGAAGTATCAAACCGATTGATTTAGTCCACTTGTGAAATGATCCCTTTGGTAGATGAGGACTTAGGGACATTAGAAATGTTTTTATTAAAGGCTGCAGTTGTATGTCGTTGTCAAACAGTCAGTCAGGACTCGGCTTTGGAAAATTGTCTTCCATTTAATGCTTGCTTGTCCTAGGTGTCCTGCAGATGCTTGCTAACAGTCAAAGGAAAACGTAGGTGCTGCTTGACCACGTAGCCGTTCTTGCGCTGGAGCGCCGACCTGCTGTGGTTCTGCACCTTCCCCTCTGTCCCCCGCGTGCGGGTGATCATTTAAAAATGATAAATCACGTCTTCCACTTCTAAAGAAATATTCCTGATCCATCTGCTGTTTTTTATGGTTGGGTCATGTTAAAATCAGTTTCGGCAGGAGGGCGGCCTGTGTTGCATTTCAGAGATGTTATCTCATCCTCTGCCTCAGTTAAACCTTTTGCACTCACAGATCTGGAGAGGATGCTTGAATTACTTGAAAATCTGTATGATGTTGTTGATTCCTTACCAATGTCTGTAAAATTATGGACTTTACTTAAAGGTTTAATTCTTTCATCCATTAACTATTGTAACTTTTAAATATGCACATCAAAAACATAAGCAATACATTTAATATTAACGTAAGACTGTCTTTTTAATGACAGTTCCCAAGGATGGTCTCAAAAGCCAAGCTGCATTTGAAGAAATGAGGGCAAATTACATTAAAGAACTAAAGAAGATGGTAACTAAATGTCCAAGTAACTCTGGGCAAAGCTGGCAGAGATTCTACCAACTGACTAAGCTTCTTGACTCCATGCATGATGTAAGTATAACTCCTCAGGGAGCGCAGACACATTAAGCAAAAATCTCTCCGTTAAGGTAAAGCAGCGGTCTTTAATTGTATTAACTCACAGGCAGAAAAAAACTCCTTGTTTTTAAAGCAACACCTGAGAAAAGTTGTTAGACAAATTTAAGGAAAGCTGCCAAATAAAACCAGAAAATGTGTCACTAAGGGTTGGGTTCTGCTGCCTTCTTCTTTGCTTGGGTGGTAGCGTGTCCCTGCGGTGATCCCGTCAGCGTCGGGGCGCTGGGCACTGAACGCGGTGCGTGTTTGCCGCGCGGAGCGTCCCCGCGGCGCTGCCTGGCGCAGGGTGCCCGGCGTGCACCAAGCGCCCAGCGTGGCGGCGTGCCCTCGGTGCTGAGTTACCCGGCCGTCCCTACAGCCGTGAGTCTCATAATGGTGGCTGTAGAAGATACATTAAGACTTCGGAGCTGTCTTTGGAATTTGAAGCCTTAATTGAGCTTTTCAAGTGTAAAATTATCTGAATTGTTGGCTTGTTTCTGCTGTCCTGTCTCCTTTCAGGGTGAGGTTTCTCTTTTATATGTATCTGGTGTGAGATGTGGTAGGTGACTTGGGAGTCTCAGGCGCTTGGGTGCCGCGGTGGCTCTGAGGGGTTGCGGCCGGTGTCCGGCGCGTGGGGCGAGCTCGAGATTCCAGAGCAGGTGCCCGCGGCGCCGGGCTGCTGAGCTGGCGACAGCCTGGCCCCGGCTCCTGGAGCCGTAACTGCGGAGACCCCCTGCTACGTGGGAACCCGGTAGCTGCCGAGCGGCCGGGAGCC